GTTCTCAATCAGTATCTACTTACCTCCCTGTTAACATATGTTCTCTATCAGCGTCTTCTTACCTCTCCGTTAACATATGTTCTCAATCAGCGTCTTCTTACCTCTCCGTTAACATATGTTCTCTATCAGCGTCTACTTACCTCTCTGTTAACGTATGTTCTCTATCAGCGTCTACTTACCTCTCCATTAACATATGTTCTCTATCAGAGTTTACTTATCTCTCTGTTGATGTATGTTCTCAATCAGCGTCTACTTACCTCTCCATTAACATATGTTCTCTATCAGCGTCTACTTACTTCTCTGTTGATGTATGTTCTCAATCAGCGTCTACTTACCTCTCTGTTGATGTATGTTCTCAATCAGCGTCTACTTACCTCCCTGTTAACATATGTTCTCTATCAGCGTCTTCTTACCTCTCCGTTAACATATGTTCTCAATCAGCGTGTACTTACCTCCCTGTTAACATATGTTCTCTATCAGCGTCTTCTAACCTTCCTGTTAACATATGTTCTCAATCAGCGTGTACTTACCTCTCCATTAACATATGTTCTCTATCAGCGTCTACTTACCTCTCTGTTAACGTATGTTCTCTATCAGCGTCTACTTACCTCTCCATTAACATATGTTCTCTATCAGAGTCTACTTATCTCTCTGTTGATGTATGTTCTCAATCAGCGTCTACTTACCTCTCCATTAACATATGTTCTCTATCAGCGTCTACTTACCTCTCTGTTGATGTATGTTCTCAATCAGCGTCTACTTACCTCTCTGTTGATGTATGTTCTCAATCAGCGTCTACTTACCTCCCTGTTAACATATGTTCTCTATCAGCGTCTTCTTACCTCTCCGTTAACATATGTTCTCAATCAGCGTGTACTTACCTCCCTGTTAACATATGTTCTCTATCAGCGTCTTCTAACCTCCCTGTTAACATATGTTCTCAATCAGCGTCTACTTACCTCTCCATTAACATATGTTCTCTATCAGCGTCTACTTACCTCTCTGTTGATGTATGTTCTCAATCAGCGTATTCTTACCTCTCCGTTAACATATGTTCTCTCTCACCGTCTACTTACCTCTCTGTTGATGTATGTTCTCAATCAGCGTCTACTTACCTCTCTGTTAACGTATGTTCTCAATCAGCGTCTACTTACCTCTCTGTTAACGTATGTTCTCAATCAGCGTCTACTTACCTCTCCATTAACATATGTTCTCTATCAGAGTCTGCTTATCTCTCTGTTGATGTATGTTCTCAATCAGCGTCTACTTACCTCTCCATTAACATATGTTCTCTATCAGCGTCTACTTACCTCTCTGTTGATGTATGTTCTCAATCAGCGTCTACTTACCTCTCTGTTGATGTATGTTCTCAATCAGCGTCTACTTACCTCCCTGTTAACATATGTTCTCTATCAGCGTCTTCTTACCTCTCCGTTAACATATGTTCTCAATCAGCGTGTACTTACCTCCCTGTTAACATATGTTCTCTATCAGCGTCTTCTAACCTCCCTGTTAACATATGTTCTCAATCAGCGTGTACTTACCTCTCCATTAACATATGTTCTCTATCAGCGTCTACTCACCTCTCTGTTAACGTATGTTCTCAATCAGCGTCTACTTACCTCTCCATCAACATATGTTCTCAATCAGCGTCTACTTACCTCTCTGTTGATGTATGTTCTCAATCAGCGTATTCTTACCTCTCCGTTAACATATGTTCTCTCTCACCGTCTACTTACCTCTCTGTTGATGTATGTTCTCAATCAGCGTCTACTTACCTCTACTGTTAACGTATGTTCTCAATCAGCGTCTACTTACCTCTCTGTTGATGTATGTTCTCAATCAGCGTCTACTTACCTCTCTGTTGATGTATGTTCTCAATCAGCGTCTACTTACCTCTCTGTAAACGTATGTTCTCAATCAGCGTCTACTTACCTCTCTGTTAACGTATGTTCTCAATCAGCGTCTACTTACCTCTCTGTTAACGTTTGTTCTCAATCAGCGTCTTCTTACCTTTCCGTTAACGTATGTTCTCAATCAGCGTCTACTTACCTCTCTGTTAACGTATGTTCTCAATCAGCGTCTACTTGCCTCTCTGTTAACGTATGTTCTCAATCAGCGTCTACTTACCTCCCTGTTAACATATGTTCTCTATCAGCGTCTACTTACCTCTCCATTAACGTATATTCTCAATCAGCGTCTACTTACCTCTCTGTTGATGTATGTTCTCAATCAGCGTCTACTTACCTCTCTGTTAACATATGTTCTCTCTCAGCGTCTACTTGCCTCTCTGTTGATGTATATTCTCAATCAGCGTCTACTTACCTCTCTGTTAACGTATGTTCTCAATCAGCGTCTACTTACCTCTCTGTTGATACATGTTCTCAATCAGCGTCTACTTACCTCTCTGTTGATGTATGTTCTCAATCAGCGTCTACTTACCTCTACTGTTGATGTATGTTCTCAATCAGTATCTACTTACCTCCCTGTTAACATATGTTCTCTATCAGCGTCTTCTTACCTCTCCGTTAACATATGTTCTCAATCAGCGTCTTCTTTCCTCTCCGTTAACATATGTTCTCTATCAGCGTCTACTTACCTCTCTGTTAACGTATGTTCTCTATCAGCGTCTACTTACCTCTCCATTAACATATGTTCTCTATCAGAGTCTACTTATCTCTCTGTTGATGTATGTTCTCAATCAGCGTCTACTTACCTCTCCATTAACATATGTTCTCTATCAGCGTCTACTTACTTCTCTGTTGATGTATGTTCTCAATCAGCGTCTACTTACCTCTCTGTTGATGTATGTTCTCAATCAGCGTCTACTTACCTCCCTGTTAACATATGTTCTCTATCAGCGTCTTCTTACCTCTCCGTTAACATATGTTCTCAATCAGCGTGTACTTACCTCCCTGTTAACATATGTTCTCTATCAGCGTCTTCTAACCTTCCTGTTAACATATGTTCTCAATCAGCGTGTACTTACCTCTCCATTAACATATGTTCTCTATCAGCGTCTACTTACCTCTCTGTTAACGTATGTTCTCAATCAGCGTCTACTTACCTCTCCATCAACATAAGTTCTCAATCAGCGTCTACTTACCTCTCTGTTGATGTATGTTCTCAATCAGCGTATTCTTACCTCTCCGTTAACATATGTTCTCTCTCACCGTCTACTTACCTCTCTGTTGATGTATGTTCTCAATCAGCGTCTACTTACCTCTCTGTTGATACATGTTCTCAATCAGCGTCTACTTACCTCTCTGTTGATGTATGTTCTCAATCAGCGTCTACTTACCTCTCTGTTGATGTATGTTCTCAATCAGTATCTACTTACCTCCCTGTTAACATATGTTCTCTATCAGCGTCTTCTTACCTCTCCGTTAACATATGTTCTCTATCAGCGTCTTCTTACCTCTCCGTTAACATATGTTCTCTATCAGCGTCTACTTACCTCTCTGTTAACGTATGTTCTCTATCAGCGTCTACTTACCTCTCGATTTACATATGTTCTCTATCAGAGTCTACTTATCTCTCTGTTGATGTATGTTCTCAATCAGCGTCTACTTACCTCTCCATTAACATATGTTCTCTATCAGCGTCTACTTACCTCTCTGTTGATGTATGTTCTCAATCAGCGTCTACTTACCTCTCTGTTGATGTATGTTCTCAATCAGCGTCTACTTACCTCCCTGTTAACATATGTTCTCTATCAGCGTCTTCTTACCTCTCCGTTAACATATGTTCTCAATCAGCGTGTACTTACCTCCCTGTTAACATATGTTCTCTATCAGCGTCTACTTACCTCTCCATTAACATATGTTCTCAATCAGCGTCTACTTACCTCTCTGTTGATGTATGTTCTCAATCAGCGTCTACTTACCTCTCCATTAACGTATGTTCTCAATCAGCGTCTACTTACCTCTCTGTTGATGTATGTTCTCAATCAGCGTCTACTTACCTCTCGGTTAACGTATGTTCTCATTCAGCGTCTACTTACCTCTCTGTTAACCTATGTTCTCTATCAGCGTCTCCTTACCTCTCTGTTAACATATGTTCTCAATCAGCGCCTACTTACCTCTCTGTTAACGTATGTTCTCAATCAGCGATTACTTACCTCTCTGTTCACGTATTTTCTCAATCAGTGTCTACTTACCTCTCTGTTAACGTATGTTCTCAATTAGAGTCTACTTACCTCTCCGTTGTTGAATGTTCTCAATCAGCGGCTATTTTCTCCCTGTTGATGTTTGTTCTCAATCATCATCTACTTACCTCTCTGTTGATGTATCTTCTCAAGCAGCTATTTCTTACCTTTTCGTTAACGTATGTTCTCAATCAGCGTCTGCTTACCTCTCTGTTAACGTTTGTTCTCAATCATCGTCTACTTACCTCTCTGTTGATGTATCTTCTCAATCAGTGATTACTTACCTCTCTGTTAACGTATGCTCTCAATCAGCGTCTACTTACCTCTCTATTAACGTATGCTCTCAATCAGCGTGTACTTACCTCTCTGTTAATGTATGTTCTCAATCAGCGTCTTCTTACCTCTCCGGTAATGTATGTTCTCAATCAGCGTCTACTTACCTCTCTGTTAATGTATGTTCTCAATCAACGTCTACTTACCTCTCTCTTAACGTATGTTCTCAATCGGCATCTACTTACCTCCGTTAACGTATGTTCTCAATCAGAGTCTACTTACCCCCGTAAACGTTTGTTTTCAATCAGCGTCTACTTACCACCGGTAACGTATGTTATCAATCAGCTTCTACTTACCTCCGGTAACGTATGTCCTCAATCAGCGTCTACTTACCTCCGTTAACGTATGTTCTCAATCAGAGTCTACTTACTTCCGGTAACGTATGTTCTCAATCAGAGTCTACTTACCTCCGTTAACGTATGTTCTCACTCAGAGTCTACTTACTTCCGGTAACGTATGTTCTCAATCAGAGTCTACTTACCTCTCTGTTAACGTATGTTCTCAATCAGAGTCTACTTACCTCTCTGTTGACGAATGTTCTCAGTCAGTTCCAGCTGGATGTTGCCGTAGTAAGCATCCTCGACAGGTCCTGGCAACACAGAGAGTTCAATATACACAGGTACATTTATTACCCATAGGATCATGGATGTAGGGGAAATCTTTTTCACTGACCATCATCCCATTGTGCTTCATGCCTGTTTGTATTTATTTTACAATTGTTTTAACTGCTTGCGAAAATGACAATAGCAACGTGGCACCATTTCAATGCTTTGCCGCAAATAATAGAGGATAACATCATCCATTGTTCCTGATGTCACAAATGAGTTGATGTGATCCCTTTCCAAATGGACCAAGATGGTCTAATGTCTCGTATGACTCTGTCCTGTGCTCTTGTAGTGATACGTGGTCGATCGGATCTTGGTAGGTCTTGTGGTCTGTTCTCCCGTGGTTCTGATAACGGTTCCACCGTCTTGTAATGGTGCTGGGGGCACGGGTGGCCAAGTCGTCTAAGGCGCCGCGATTCGCTGTGCAGAGTTGCGTCCCTTGGGCACGCCAGAAACCTTTGATATTGGTTTCGAATCCCTGTTCGCCCCAATTATGTTTCTAGGTTTGTCAGCACCATACCCGTGCTCATGGGTTTCTTCGAGGTGGTAAACGTCTGAGACCTGCATCATTTCGGGCTTTCCTCCCACATTAAGCTGACACGCCGTAATATAACTGGAATACTGTTAAAAGCGGCGTTAAACCCAACTCACTCACTCACTCGTTGATAATTCGAATTATGTTATTCCTGATGCTTCAAACCGCAACATATTACCACATCTTTCCTGTACGTCTTCTTCTTCTTCTGCAAATCCGAGGTTGCCTTTTGTATGGTCAGGATCGTTATCTGGAACATATAGGTTGCCGTATGTATGGTCAGGATCGTTATCTGGAACATATAGGTTGCCGTATGTATGGTCAGGATCGTTATCTGGAACATATGCACGTTGCCGTATGTATGGTCAGGATCGTTATCTCGAACATATAGGTTGCTGTATGCATGGTCAGGATCGTTATCTGGAACATATAGGTTGCCGTACATATGGTCAGGATCGTTATCTGGAACATATAGGTTGCTCTGTGTATGGTCAGGATCGTTATCTGGAACATATAGGTTGCCGTATGTATGGTCAGGATCGTTATCTCGAACATATAGGTTGCTGTATGCATGGTCAGGATCGTTATCTGGAACATATAGGTTGCCGTACGTATGGTCAGGATCGTTATCTGGAACATATAGGTTGCTCTGTGTATGGTCAGGATCGTTATCTGGAACATATAGGTTGCCGTATGTATGGTCAGGATCGTTATCTGGAACATATAGGTTGCCGTTTGTTTGGTCAGGATCGTTATCTGGAACATATAGGTTGCCGTTTGTAAGGTCAGGATCGTTATCTGGAACATATAGGTTGCTCTGTGTATGGTCAGGATCGTTATCTGGAACATATAGGTTGCCGTATGTATGGTCAGGATCGTTATCTGGAACATATAGGTTGCCGTTTGTTTGGTCAGGATCGTTATCTTGAACATATAGGTTGCCGTTTGTAAGGTCAGGATCGTTATCTGGAACATATAGGTTGCTCTGTGTATGGTCAGGATCGTTATCTGGAACATATAGGTTGCCGTACGTATGGTCAGGATCGTTATCTGGAACATATAGGTTGCCGTATGTATGGTCAGGATCGTTATCTGGAACATATAGGTTGCCGTTTGTTTGGTCAGGATCGTTATCTGGAACATATAGGTTGCCGTTTGTAAGGTCAGGATCGTTATCTGGAACATATAGGTTGCTCTGTGTATGGTCAGGATCGTTATCTGGAACATATAGGTTGCCGTACGTATGGTCAGGATCGTTATCTGGAACATATAGGTTGCCGTTTGTTTGATTAGGATCGTTATCTGGAACATATAGGTTGCCGTATGTATGGTCAGGATCGTTATCTGGAACATATAGGTTGCCGCATGTATGGTCAGGATCGTTATCTGGAACATATAGGTTGCTGTATGTATGATCAGGATCGTTATCTGGAACATATAGGTTGCCGTATGTATGGTCAGGATCGTTATCTGGAACATATAGGTTGCCGTACGTATGGTCAGGATCGTTATCTGGAACATATAGGTTGCCGTATGTATGATCAGGATCGTTATCTGGAACATATAGGTTGCCGTTTGTTTGGTCAGGATCGTTATCTGGAACATATAGGTTGGCGTATGTATGGTCAGGGTCGTTATCTGGAACATATAGGTTGCCGTATGTATGGTCAGGATCGTTATCTGGAACATGTAGGTTGCCGTACGTATGATCATGATCGTTATCTGGAACATATAGGTTGCTCTGTGTATGGTCAGGATCGTTATCTGGAAAATATAGGTTGCCGTATGTATGGTCAGGATCGTTATCTGGAACATATAGGTTGCCGTATGTATGGTCAGGATCGTTATCTGGAATATATAGGTTGCCGTATGTATTGTCAGGATCGTTATCTGGAACATATAGGTTGCCGTATGAATGGTCAGGATCGTTATCTGGAATATATAGGTTGCCGTATGTATTGTCAGGATCGTTATCTGGAATATATAGGTTGCCGTATGTATTGTCAGGATCGTTATCTGGAACATATAGGTTGCCGTATGAATGGTCAGGATCGTTATCTGGAACATATGCACGTTGTGTTATGTCCGGAGAGTGAGTGAATAACATCACATGGAACACCTGGTATCATCACTGTTTGATAGTGGGTCATAAACTTGTGCTTTTGAAAGAGTCGAGTCGTTCAGTGGACTAATGGATGAGGAAAGGCTTTTCTCGCTTATATAAAGTCATATCATGCAGGACGATCTTTAAGGCAAACCCGAAATAATTCAGATCTTAGACGGACTCTACGAGGGCGGGTGGTGCTGTTGGCAAACTGAACAGCAGAACCGGGGCGAACCTCGGATTCGAACCAACGATCACAGGTTTCTGGTAGTCCTAAGTGACACAACTCAGCAAGTGAAGTCAAGTGAAGCAACTTGAATGCCTTGGTTTAATATTACCCCTCTGGTTGAAGAGACATAAACTTGTTGAAATCCTTTACTTTGCATGGCGGTTGACTATTTAGGTCACATCTCCACATGGGATTAAGAGGTGAGGTAAAATTAGGTTTAACGTCGCGTCCAAGACTATTGCACTTATATAGCGACGTGCATGAACGTGTGTGTGTGTGTGGCTGCTTGTACTAGTCCGGCCTGATGCCGATTTATAGTGCTAGCACACTGAGATACCATGCCGCAGTTTAACATGAATATCCCACTCAGACACAGTATACTGACTCCGAGCCGACTAGTCCTTGATTTAGCCCCTTAATGCCGAGCGCCAGACAGGGTAACAACAAGTACCATCTTTTCACGTCTTTTGGTATGACGCGGCCGGGGATCGAACCCCGGACCTTCCGCTCTCCGGGCGGACGCTCTACCACAAGACCACGAAGGCGGCCCATGGGATTAATAAACTGACACAATGCACACAGTTAAAAACGTTAATGGACACAATTTAATGAACAAAAGATGCGATATTAAGTATGAAGTCACGGCAGACCCATGTAAATTACCTCTCACCGGTGTCATCTGAAAACGGCAATAGGTATCCTCAGCACCTGGAAAATACATCATGCTTGTCTGATTTAACTCAGTAAAATGCAGTTAGTTGTCCAAAAATGAAATACACGGGACAAAAAGCTTATATTTCCAACTGTGAGAGAATTAAGCTTTCTGCACTTTCGGTTGGTTCAGACACACGTCATCGTGGCCTGTTGGTGTGGAGCTGTGATCATGCTTCCAGTTCCTGGTTTACCTGGTCCAGGTTTGTTATTCACAGACCACCGGAGAGCTGGAACTTTCTGCTTCTAATACTGAATAGCATCAACTTACTCAAGCTTTGTTATTCACAGACCACCGGAGAGCTGGAACATTCTGCTTCTAATACTGAATAGCATCAACTTACTCAAGCTTTGTTATTCACAGACCACCGGAGAGCTGGAACATTCTGCTTCTAATACTGAATAGCATCAACTTACTCAAGCTTTGTTATTCACAGACCACCGGAGAGCTGGAACATTCTGCTTCTAATACTGAATAGCATCAACTTACTCAAGCTTTGTTATTCACAGAGGGCCGGAGAGCTGGAACATTCTGATTTCAATAATGAATAGCATCAACTTACTTAAGCTTGGAATAATAGTGCTGTTGTGGGGTGGTGTTACAATAACACTCCAGGTTAACATGGGGCTTTAGCCTTAGTCAGTGGGATGGTGTTATAATAACACTCCAGGTAAACAAGTGGCTTTAGTCCCAGTCAGAGGGGTGGTGTTACAATAACACTCCAGTTTAACATGGGGCTTTAGTCTCAGTCAGTTGGGTGGTGTTACAATAACACTCCAGGTTAACATAGGGCTTTAGTCTCAGTTAGTGGGGTGGGGCGGTAGCCTATACTGGACGTAATCCGTCCGCTCGTCACGATGGAGGCCCTGGTGTGATGCCCAACATTGGTAAACTGTGTGAAGCTCATTTATTGTGAGACACACACACACACACACACACACACACACACACACACACACACACACACACACACACACACACACACACACACACACACACACACACACACACACACACACACACACACACACACACACACACACACACACACACACACACACAAATGCAAGAACCCAAATCAGTCACCGCATTATAATCAAGGTTCTCAGCTCACTTTGCATGTCAACATTATATCTGTTTTGGTATAATATTTTTGTCCATACCTTCACTTGACGTCTCCATCGTCTCGTAATTCTGTTGGCGGCTTGCCATGTTCGCTCGTTCAGTTCTGGTATAGATGCACAATCAGATTTTGTTAGACAAACATTATAGTAATCATGGTCTTGTTTATCATGCTTTTAAGTGCAACAAGCCCTAAAGCTCGCCAGTTTCTTTGAGGAATTAGCATGTCCTGGGTTTAATACCAAAACAATGGGTTATTTGTAAATACAAGCTATGATGAATTCTTTCGTAGGCATTACTTAGATGTTGACGGATGACAAAGCAGACACAATTTATGGATAAGAACTTCTTCAATTATTGTAAAGGCGACGTTTCGGTATAGAACCTTATACCGTTGTGAAGCAATGACATAAGGTCTATATCGAAACATGGCCTTTAAAGTAATTAAAGAAGTTGTTATCCATAAATCGTGTCTACTTTACCAGTTATGATACTGTGGTTCACAATATGCAATCTTTCAGAACGGGAATGAATATACGGTCAAAATTTGGGGATTATGTTTCTTTTTGAGATATGAACATACACGTGTGTATAGCACTGTTCTACATGATGGTCAGTATGTTGTTCTACATGATGGTCAGGATGTTGTTCTACATGATGGTCAGGATGTTGTTCTACATGATGGTCAGTATGTTGTTCTACATGATGGTCAGTATGTTGTTCTACATGATGGTCAGTATGTTGTTCTTCATGATGGTCAGTATGTTGTTCGACATGATGGTCAGTATGTTGTTCTACATGATGGTCAGTATGTTGTTCTACACGATGGTGAGTATGGTCAGTATGTTGTTCTACATGATGGTCAGTATGTTGTTCTACATGATGGTCAGTATGTTGTTCTACATGATGGTCAGGATGTTGTTCTACATGATGGTCAGTATGTTGTTCTACATGATGGTCAGTATGTTGTTCTACATGATGGTCAGTATGTAGTTCTACATGATGGTCAGTATGTTGTTCTACATGATGGTCAGTATGTTGTTCTACATGATGGTCAGGATGTTGTTCTACATGATGGTCAGTATGTTGTTCTACATGATGGTCAGTATGTTGTTCTACATGATGGTCAGTATGTTGTTCTACATGATGGTCGGTATGTTGTTCTACATGATGGTCAGTATGTTGTTTTACATGATGGTCAGTATGTTGTTCTACATGATGGAGAGTATGTTGTTCTACATGATGGAGAGTATAGTGTTCTACATGATGGTCAGTATGTTGTTCTACATGATGGTCAGTATGTTGTTCTACATGATGGTCAGTATGTTGTTCTACATGATGGTCAGTATGTTGTTCTACATGATGGTCAGTATGTTGTTCTACATGATGGTCAGTATGTTGTTTTACATGATGGTCAGTATGTTGTTTCTGCAGATTTGAGAAAGGAGAAAGTGCTGTAAGAGTCAGCCTTATCCAGATGATACAAAACAAAAACATGGGGAAAAAGTGGAAAATAATCATAGGCTTTGAATTTGTTTCGATTTTCAACAGTTACATATTTTGGTATAAAGACAACGCGTAGTACATATGAAACGAAACAATGATAATATCATTGGAATATCAGGGAATTTGTCTTCAATTTTGACACGTGTAGCACTTTGATCCAAACTGAATTTCTTACACAGGACAGTGTTGAAGGGAAGAAAGGGATGATAACATGTATCCTATAAGTAACTAATTCTTACACGTCATACGCCTGTTTTACTTTTACCAATGACATTATATAATCTATTCGTACATTTGCCTTTGTAATATCGCTAAGTTCCATACTAAGACTCTATTTAAAACCACCACATACAGATACGAGATGGTGTCAGTCAACAATCACCGCCCACGATAATAAACCAGGTAGACATTTTCCTCAACTTGTGGGAATGAAATGAATAAAGTTTTCGGTACATGTAATTCAAAGTTAAATTACAAGGAAAATAAAAAATAAAATCTGATAGCAAAAGAATACCCATTTACATTTATATAATATGGTGACTGAAAAGACGCGTTCATGTGTTAATGTGTTGATGATAATGTGAGGAAACTTGGAAATGGCAGGCACCATAAACTGGTAGATTCCCATAACTTTGTTGTCAGTTACACAGGCTGAATCAAGAAATACAGTTTGCTCTGCCCACATGTATAGTGTAATATAGTATAGGTCGGCCCTTAACTTTTATACTCCTGGGCCGAGCTGTAATGTAAACATAGCCGAAGCCGGTCTCGCTGGTTATTGTGCTTTGAAGTTTGTTACGGTAACCGTGAATCGTGATATGGCGTCAACGTGGGACGAACATGGTGCAGGAAGAGCGACATCAGCCGTGTTGTTTGATTGCTGTATATTATGTAATGCTGTACGCTGAGCCACATGTGTACATGTGGTTATGAAACTTTTTAAGGAATTGTCATAACTTTGTCCCGCGACAAGCACGCAGTTCCTAGGGCACCACCAACGCCCGCCTTGGACAATCGTGTGACTGCTGTATCACAGACATAGTGTTGGAATACATGTTTGGGAAAAGCATGCTGCGGGCGAGATGGTTGACATAATCTTGCCATATTTCCTCCCAGGTAATAATATTCAATTTTAAACATCATTAGACGTGGATGTGACAGTAATACAGAAATGCCTTTGATCCATTAGAGGAGCATGTTAAAATAATGAATAAACTTTATATATATATATATATATATATATATATATATATATATATATATATATATATATATATATATATATTCATTATTCATTATTCGTTTATTCATTATTCTAACATTCTTCATATATATATACTCTTCATGTTAACAGAACCTGCTTCACCCAATTTACACGTGGATGTGATAGTACTACAGAAATGCCTTTGATCCATTAGAGGAGCATGTTAGAATAATGAATAAACGTTATATATATTATATATATATTGCTATATTATATATATACTCTTCATGTTTACAGAACCTGCTTCACCCAATATACACGTGGATGAGATAGTACTACAGAAATGCCTTTGATCCATTAGAGAAGCATGTTAGAATAATGAATAAACGTTATATATATTATATATATATTGCTATATTATATATATACTCTTCATGTTTACAGAACCTGCTTCACCCAATATACACGTGGATGAGATAGTACTACAGAAATGCCTTTGATCCATTAGAGAAGCATGTTAGAATAATGAATGAACGTTATATATATTATATATATATTGCTATATTATATATATACTCTTCATGTTTACAGAACCTGCTTCACCCAATATACACGTGGATGAGATAGTACTACAGAAATGCCTTTGATCCATTAGAGAAGCATGTTAGAATAATGAATAAACGTTATATATATTATATATATATTGCTTTATTATATATATACTCTTCATGTTTACAGAACCTGCTTCACCCAATATACACGTGGATGTGATAGTACTACAGAAATGCCTTTGAGCCATTAGAGAAGCATTAGAGAAGCATATTGGAATAATGAATAAACTTTATATATATGCTTGATAACAGCAATGTAAAAAAACAACTACCTGTTTGGTCTTTCATTCGGTTTGCGCCCAACTAGAAATGATAAAGCATACCAATTTCAAAACATAGCTCTTCAAACAATATTTTCAGTGAACAGAAATAACAATCATTAGATATATGTGCACAACATTATAGACGTTGTGTATGATTGTATATATCACATGTCGTTGAAGCTCTTAAATTAAAAGGGTCAGCCAGGTAGCCTTGTGGTTAAAGTGTTCGCTCGTCACGCCGAAGACCCAGGTTCGATTTCCGACATTGGTACAATGTGTGAAGCCCATTTCTGGTGTCCCCAGCCGTGATATTGCTGGAATATTGCTAAAAGCGGCGTAAAACCACACTCACTCACTCACTTCAGTTAAACCACAGATGCACCTACGTTTTGCAGCATGCAGACTCCTCCTCAGGTGTATAATGACGACGATGAGGATGAAAATGGTAACCATGCATACAGATCCAATAACAATGGCAGTCAGTTGATTCTTGTTTACAGTGTCATCACTCCCGATCGCCGACGAAACTTGCACTGTGACAAAAATGTTATCAAAATGAAGATATATATGTATATATGTGCTTTCCGATAAACTAATGCATGTTAGACTTTCATCTTGATCAGACATTAATCTATGTAATTCGTCTTCTACACCAACACAAATATGGTATTATTTCTTGGTAGGTCTAAGGTCCATAAGAAAGTTAGGCACAGCTCAACCGATGCCACATTGTGTGTTATAGTGTCAATCATGACATCATCCAGAATGTAGTTAAGAAAACGTACAACTCTGTGGATAACAACTTCTGGTTTACAGCTTATAGCCACATGTTGATGTAGAACCTTACACCGTTATCAAGCTGGAGTGGCAACAACCAGGTGATAGGGGCACATATCCGTGATATGTGATAGGTGGAAGATAAACAACAGGTAATAGATAACAAGTCGCATACAGATAATTGGATAAAGCCAAATGTACATAAAGAATAACAAGTAGTAAACACGTAATGAAGCACGCGGGGGAATAAGCCAGGTGCACAGTAAGGATAAGGGTTAAAAGGATTGTTGTGACAGTTGTGACAAACTGATTGGGTCATAATTAAAGCCAGAAATTGTTATCCATAAAGGTGTACGTTTTCTTACGTACTCAACAATTTCTAGTATGCCAATCAAACAGTTGCCCAGAATGTATGCTGTACAACATGTACAGCTATGATAATTCCAGTTTGCCAACACGATCAGATCTGTCCAGTGCATGTTTTGAATAGTCAAAACAGCCTCATCTTATATATACATCTTACATGTTAAAATAGAACTTCAATAAGAATGACAACTGTCACTCTATAAACTTTTAAGTTTATCAATGGAAGGCCATTTCCACAACAGAATTGAAAGCCATCAATATCTAATTCGTTAAAAGTCGTATTCTTATGTACACTTAACATTTCCTTTTCATTTGCCATATCAAGTTTCCATGACTACCACAAGATGTATACCTATTCACTCACTCACAAACTTAAAGTAAACTTCACCTTCATCTTAGACTTAAGAGTCCCCTTTGCTTTTGTTAACGGAAAAAAGTATTGCTAAAAGCTGGAGTTGGCAATATACAGGCAAATGTCAGGTAATATTCAAAAACCTGTCCTTGCATCCTCCAATATTGTACGTTTGGTTCTATATGTGTTGCAAATAGCAAATGTCAGTTAATCGGTCTCACTGATTGATGAGGCTTTCTCACTTCCAAGTAAAACACTAAATACCATGTACATATATGCACCGCCAAATACCTTTATCATGATCAGTTATGGTCCCTGCCCAGTTTGCAGAGCAGGACATATTCCTAGCATTAGACGTGATAAATCATGTTTTATAAACGCTTGTCCATAACTAACATTGTCCTTATGAAACATCATGTGTAGGAGGTGACAGAGTGGTTGGGGTCGTGCACGACACAAACAGCAGTTACGGCTCCACCATGTTTGCCAATTAAGTCCTCTAGGCTTGACTCCAATTGTTTGTAGCAGGGTGTAAGATTGTCCCTCAATATAACAGAAAGAAACTTATGATAATAGGTTAATGATGTAGCTCACATTGAACGTTAACATGTGCAACTGCTCGTCCGGGTGTCATCATGTGTCCATTATCAGCAGTACAGGTCAGTTTCCCTCCGTCAGAACGGGTTATGTTACGTTTGAGGAATATCGAGCCAGTACTTGTTTGTCCATTGTGAGACCACCGGAATGTGTGGACACTAGGGTTCGCATCATCTACCACGCAGTCTACACGGAGGTCTTCACCGACACTGACATCAAGGGTGTCATTGCTTGGTTCCAGATGTACAACTGGCGGATCTGGGGATATCAATGATTAATCCTCAGATTAGTGACATAATTCCATGCAATGACATCTACAGACGGGACAGGTATAAGCTCCCGTAGTAAATAAAGAATCTGTTAAATGTACATACATTGTTCTTTTACTGAAGAGAAAACACGAAATTCCAATGACGTTTTTGTTACGTTTGTCATAGAAATATACTTTCATAACTCATAAAATGAGCTGCGAAAGGATTTCATTTGAACTGGCATACATTGCCACCCTCGTTATTCCCTTTTTATAGATTCGTAAATGACTTACACAGAACACTGATTTGTGTAGAGGCGCGCACATTCCCTACACTGCATTCTAAAGTACCAGAGTCCGACTTGGATGTTACTGTTTTACTGAAGGTTCGTCCACTGTAGGAACGTCCTTTGTATGTCCATCTGAACGAAGTGACCGGAGAGTTGAAGGAGTCGACCACACACACGACACTGATCACTTGACCAAGGAGTACGTTGAGGACACGTCCTGTTGGCTCGAGGTGGATTTGCAGGGTGGCTGAAAAATATGATTATGTACGCAATAATGCAAACAGTCTAGATATGTATCCACGTATTAATTCGAATACATCATGTACTTTCTAGTCTATATATATATATGCTATCGAATCCTGTTACTTTCATTTTGATACTGTTTATATATTTTACAAAATAAAATTTTCGCTATGTCTATTTCTCGCCTCCACCTCAATGAAATACAACCCAACATCACTAATGTCTCCAACCCATCTACACATCATATCACGCCAACATCACTACTGTGTTCAACCTTCTCCACAAAGCACCACCCAACATCAGTAATGTGTCAAAACCGTCTCAACGACATATCACGCATACATCACTTCTGTATTGAAATCAACCTCCACCTCCATGAAATGCTACCATCAACCCCACAAGTAAAACATCAAATATCATGTACACACGTGCACCCTTGATGACCATTATCATTATCACTTATGTTCCCTGCCCATTTTGCAGAGCAGGACATATTCCCGGCATGAGACGTAATAAATCATGCTTTATAAACGCTTGTCCATAACTAACATTGTCGTTATAGAAAATCACGTGTAGTAGGTGACAGAGTGGTTAGGGTCGTGCACGACAAAAATAGCAGTTACGGTTCCACCATGTTTGCCAAAGAACGCCTGTAGGCTGGACTCCAATTGTTTGTAACAGGATATAAGAATGTCCCTCATTATAACAGAAAGAAACTTATGATAATAGGTTAATGATGTAGCTCACATTCAACATTAACATGTGCAACCGCTCGTCCGGGTGTCATCATGTGTCCATTATCAGCAGTACAGGTCAGTATCCCTCCGTCAGAACGGGCTATGTTACGTTTGAGGAATGTTGAGCCAGTACTTGTTTGTCCGTTGTGATACCACCGGTATGTGTTGACACTAGGGTTGGCATCATCTACCAAACACTTTACACGGAGGTCTTCACCGACAGTGACATCAAGGGTGTCATTGCTTGGTTCCAGATGAACCACTGGCGGATCTGGAGATATCAATGATTAATCCACAGATTAGTGACATAATTCCATGCAATGACATGTACAGACGGGACAGGTATAAGCTCCCGTAGTAAATAAAGAATCTGTTAAATGTACGTACATTATTCTTCTACTGAAGAGAAAACACGAAATTCCAATGACGCTTTTGTTACGTTTGTCATAGTTATATACTTTCATAACTATAAAATGAGCTGCGAAAGGATTTCATTTGAACTGGCATACATTGCCACCCCCGTTATTCCCTTTTTATGGATTCGTAAATGACTTACACAGAACACTGATTTGAGTAGAGGCGCGCACATTCCCTACACTGCATTCTAAAATGCCAGAGTCCAACTTGGATGTTACTGTTCTACTGAAGGTTCGTCCACTGTAGGAACGTCCTTTGTATGTCCATCTGAACGAAGTGACCGGAGTAATGGAGTAGTCGACCACACACACGAAACGGATCACCTGACCAAGGAAGACGTTGAAGGCACTTCCTGTTGGCTCCAGGTGGATTTTTAGGGTGGCTTAAAGATGTGACCACGTATACAATATGCAAACAATCCAATTATGTATCCACGTATTTATTCGAATACATCATGCACTTTCTTGCCAATATAGTTTTGCTATGGAATGTCCTTACTTTCATTTAGCTACTGTTTAAATATTTTTCAGGATAAAATATTCACTATATATATATTTTCACCTCCAACTCAAATACATCATGTACATTTTAATGAGTTTAGATATTTCTGATGAACAAAATGATATTATGTATATTTCTCACCTCGAACTAAATGAAATACCACCTCCACCCCACATCACTAATGTAGTAAAACCCACCTCCACGACTTCCCATCGAACGTCACTCCTGTGGTAAACCTACTTCCACAAAATACCACCACACATCGGTAATTGTCAAACCCATCTCCATGACATACCACGCCAACGCCACTACTGTGTTAAACCTTCTTTGACAAAATACCACCCCACATCTTTAATGTGTCAAAAACCCCTTCCACGACATACCATCATCCCACATCACTACTTTATCGAACCTACCTCCACTACATATCACGCCAACATCACTGCTGTGAGAACAACTCGCTGTTCCCCAACCAGAGTGGGAACAATCGTCTAGGGAGGTCTCTGTCCCCGTACAGTCGACGTTACTCAGCCACACAAGCCCTTCACCTGGCCCGTAAGACGTCGTCACACTGGCGCTGGTCCTGTAAAAGAACATACAATTTGGATGATGATTCCTATACTCATTTTGACAGTGTTTGTCCTATTAAGATTTATTTTGTCTAAACTACTCATGCGACATTAGTGTAGAATGTCATACTTAAGAGTGGGCACGAATGTTAGCTTATGCCTATGATATGTAACAAAGAACGCTTGAAATAGCTAATTTTCGTTTTTCAGGCGGTTAGCAATTTTGGTTTCTATTTAGTACCTTGTAAAGTTTCAAAAACAGAACTTTTTATTTTCCTAAAATGACAAGGAAAGTTTTCCGAGATGTCAATGGTCAACTTACCACGGAAAATTTGCCATTTTGCACACTACTTTTGCCTCCTGTGTCGAAAAAGATGACCCTCTACAAATTGTTCCCCAGACATTGTTGTGTAGTACTTCCACTCGACCACGTCCACGATTTGTCGAATTCAAGCGTATTTGAGGATTTGCTTGAACAAATAATATACCAAACATCACAGAAATATCACATAACATTACCTTTATCAATTTTGCAACAAAGTTAGACCTACTTGAGAACACTTTGTTGGAACTACAGTTTACACTATTCCATGTCTGTGAGTGATAATTTACACCGGGCCCAATAACTAACAGCACTCACCATGTAAAGACGTCACAGCTTTCACGAATCACTGTGACAATGTGGAACGAACGTCACAACCCCGAGACAATACCCTCATCACCATGACGATTTAGTAATTTATTGTTGGACTATTCTTTAATCATATTGGAACCTACCAGAGGGACAACGTATTCCAGCTACAGTCGAACAGTCTACTTCCTCCCAAGGATAATGCAAACATTCATTGAAGGATAGTTCTGTGCCAAGACATTGAACCTTGTCTAAGATAACTGGAGGTGTTGATGTCTTTGTGTGGTGGGTGGAGCTGGCCCCAATACTGAATATTAGAATTTAAATATTAGATAGACAATTAACTGAATGTTTATATGTGTACAAATACATTTATCATCCAAAACTGGTTCCCAAAGGAGATATTGCTTTGATGAGATTAAACGATATCTACACTGTAGATATCGCTGCAATGATATTACATCACAATGCTTTGCAGACCATTGTGACGTCACTTGTTACCATGATGTCACAATCAAATGACATCACTAATGGCTCTGCTACTAAAGCTGTAAGCAGTACTTTTTACACTGAAGAAACTGCTAATTACTGTCAACAAATTGAAGAAGTTCAAAGAATGATGTTGGATGATAAATAAAATCTCATCCTCGTGTTTTTTTAATATAGCAACACCCGTTGACAAAAGTGGGAAAAATCCTCGGCAAGCATCGAAATTTTTCCACTTTTATCAACTGGTGTTGATATATTTGGTATCAAAAGACACTCGGGTCAGATTCTCTATTTCGTTCCTGAAAGTTGAATTTGTTTAAGATTCGAATTCCATTTCTCTCGTTGTTAATTAGAAAATTAAAACCAGCCCACACATTTGATGACAAAAATAACGGATTAAGCGAGGCCACATTACTAAAAAGTACATGTGTTTCACATGTCAGAGGACACGCATGTGTGTCTCTTTAAGATGACTACCGATATATAGTATTGTATTGCTATATTATTGTCAATGGATAGCCTGACTCTCTTCACATAGAGTCAATCTTGATTGTGCTCTTACTGTCACAGAGAGCAGTGACTTTGCCAGCTTTGACACTGATCAAAAAGATCCATGGATATTTCTGTCGGGTCAGGTTCTGATATGGTGTGAACATGTGGTTGCCTATAGACAGCTTGCTGATGTGGAGTGTGTGAATAATGATAGACTGCACTGACCATAAAGTGATCCAAACAGCAGACACGCTGAATTGTAACACTTTGGTCAGCCATAACCACATCATTTATGCATTGAGAGCAGTCATGCCCAAGCTCGCTTTTCATATCTTCGTGCCTTTCGATAGCATGGAAACTTATTAATTTTTAATTTTTTTAGTTAATATAGCATAATTGTGTTTATTTGCTCCACGTATAATTAGTAAAAGTTTCCATAATATTTATTTTAAGCAAAAATATATGGGAGATATTCACACAAACTTGGTTTGGTATATAACTTTAATTTGCCTCAACAATAAAGATAATATCATTTGATATCTGTAAAGTTCTGTAAAGAACTACCTCAGTTACCCAGTCACAATGACAGCGCTTCAAAATCCATTTACATCAAGTACAAGACTTCAAAATGGCCGACACGATAAACATGACGGGAGAGATTTCCGAAGTTGTTAATGAACCTCTTGTGGTTACATGTGTTAGTCATCATTGATCAACTTGCCGATCATTGGAAGGTGAATAAAGATGCGTCAAACAGACACTTAGGTAAATTCATACATTTCTGGAGACGGTCAGTGTCAGCCTAGACATGGATCCAGTCGATGCTACAATAGTTTAGGTGTGCATTTCTTCGTCTGTTCATTAGGATAGGCCGTAGTGAGGATATTCGTGAACAATCATGTAGTCACGCTCTCTGACATTTCTCAATGTATACTGAAACGCTGAGACCAAGAACAATGGTTCTAAATGATCAGAAAGAACGCTTATGCATGTTCCCCAGGAATGTTGAAGTAGTTCGTCAGTGTTTATTTCAAGAACACGGTCTCGTGAAAAACGTATGAACGTCAAATTGTGTCCTTCATACACTTATGAACGTCAATTTCGCGGTCATGTGACCGACCTCTCGTCCAATGGAAAAGCCGTATATCGTGTAAACTTCAAATTAAATAAATATTCAGATGTGATCAAAGAAGCTGGAAGTTATCTACAAAAGGTTTTTAAAGACAGCTTCGCATAAACAAACGAATTAAAATGGCCATCATCTGCTGAGGATCTTCTTCTGCTTTCTCATCTGGGTAAATATCATAAAGTATGTTATAACAGAGAGAACAGCCACCCACACATCTAAATTATATCGACATGTACATTCGATAGAACAAGATATCCGTCATGCAGTAACACACTGTGAGTAGAAACTCCCAAAGCATGTGTTGATATGCATGACACTTAGCCACCTGTTCAGAAGTGAGCGATTGATCACATTGCTCAACCGAATGAGCCATTGTGAGAACTACACGTTGCGCAGGCTAATGAGGAAACAAATACTCTTTTGTCAACACATATAATTCGGTCACCAGATGAGCTATCAGTGTTTCATTCTCAATTTTGATCAATTGCTGAACACTCTAACTTGAATTAGTTCAGTTCATACTGCCCCTGGTATCATGCTACAGGATATAGAAGGCAAGCCAGAAGATCATGGTGGCACCCGTGTAAAAATCCCATCAATTCCGAAGGAGGATAATTCTACCAAACAACGTTCGTTGAACCTTAATCCAGCTGAACATCTGCCAGATTGCTATTTAACCTAGAGTAGGAGTCCACAGATAGTGATCAAGCAGCTGACATACACTGATGGTTGACATTCCTACCATGAAGCAGACATGTGACCCATATCGTTGGTGCTGATACAGATGAAGAGATGTTTGTCACACCAGGAAGTCCCTGGGTGGACAGGGTTTATAACTGTGCCTGGTAAAGCTCCTGATCTATCACGTTATTGGCAGTCCAATCAACGATTATAGGACAGTACAGGTGTGTCTACATTGTGCTGAAATTGCCACAAATTTAGTCAACCGCTGCTACATCATCACCACATTCGACTGAGGTGTATGTATGAATTCACATCCCCTCGTCTGGAACAACCAAACTAAGTACGAGAATCACATTATCGTGATCAGAACATTCCATCTAGTTTGTGCATAAATGACCATGATAGGAAAGAACATGAATGGATCAGGTCTCTCTGACATACTGCTGGAATCAGGCTTAATTGCCAAGGGTCCATTGCAGATGTTCTTTCAAGGAAACATTACATTAGAGCTATGCCCTGCCACGGGGTCTTGTTGGAATGCCTTGAGAGCCTCCTAATGACTCAGTTTGTAGACAGTCGGGGTGAAACTGAAGAACTGTCTTCGCTATCAGAGCAATCAAAGCTAGTTCTACATAATTTGCTGCACGTCCCATCTTCAGACAGCCTAGACACAGCACTTGCGGACGAAGCAGTACAGAAATACATCAAAGGATTTCAGTAATATCGCGACAACATTAGAGCAGGACTTCATGCAAAGACTGCTCAACAATGGCTATCATACATGGATCATATATGGCTTGTACTTCTACTGATACATACTGTGAAGTACAATGATTTTCTCCTGTATGACCTTTTTGTTCACCTTAATGGCCAAAATTACGCGAGGTTCTTCACATCATCATTCATAGACAACATTGACACATCTCATTCAGGAGCTACAGGTTTGATAAAGTGATATCAGCGAAGCCCGGTCTTTCAGTCATGGCGACAGGTGTGAAGTCGAAGACAATGAAAGAGATGTTCATGTGACGTGCCAAGTATCATGGTGATGCTTGTGGAAGGGGTGCTGGCGTTTCAGTCGTGGTGACCAACAATGATGCCTATCAACGTTGGGTGGGAACCCCTCACGCCAGATGACAGTATGTTAACGTCACTCTCAATATGCCTGATATGTTGTCAGACAACATAGGGGAAACCAAACACCATGATGTTTTGGTGCCTGCTGAGGTACTGAAAAGTGAAAAACTAGTAAACAGGACAAAAGTTTCCTGAACACAGTCATAGTTGACAGTAAAGATCAGTCACTCTCATTGGGACAAGCGGAATCAGAGAAGATATGCAAAGAATGCTTACATTGAAATCCATTTTGAAAGAGGAAGATATTTTGAGTAGCCAGTGAAACGTTTGAATCTCAAATTTTGGGAGACATAAACAGGAAAGTCAGGGTCACAATCACCACAAACAAAGTGGGACAGTACTAACAACAAGCGAACGTTGCTTTCCAGTTTTTCAAGTCCAAAAGTCAAGGAATTATAACTGGATCTGAAAGAAATTCTGAAATATCTTATCACTCCTGTGCCTTACAGTATCGGGACTGCAGACATTTTCCCAGCAAAGACCAGACAAGTCAAAGGCCTTCCACCACCCGACCAAGGATCTCAAGGATGCGGATGCCCTTCCTGCCCATGTATTTCTTGTGATCCATGATGGCGATAACCTGTTTTTACTACTTGAAGGACATTCCCAGTAACTTCAACCACATTAGCAAGAAAATGTTTCATATAATGTCGAAAACCGGCGATGTTGTGTTCAGCACAGACAACTATGTTATTAACTCTGTCAAAGCCATCGAGCGACAAAGGAGGTGATGTGGGAGAAACTTCATTGTCAAGGACATGAGAACATGAATAATCCTACTGATGGGAAACAGTTCCTAACAAGCTCATCATTCTTTTGAATCGACTCTGGAAACAGGATACTTGTGACAACAAACTCGAAGGTAGACAATTGACAGTCGTATGTGAAACCTCGCATACCAACTCACCCCTGATGATGGTCTGAGAACACGGAATATAGAAATACCAATCCTCAAGTCCTTCCAGGAGGAGACAGATTCCATCTTTTCTTGTGAATATGCCAGGAACTACAAGTATGTCAGAGTAAAGAGCCCAGATACTGACATTTTATTTATCCTTTTCAATTATGCACACAAGTTGGAGAATATACAAATGTCTTTGACATTGGCACTGGTAACAAGAAAAGGTTGATTTATGTCAGGAACTTGCTCTGTCCCATTCTCAGCAAGACTGTACCACCCTGATGGCACTGAGTGTATACACCAGTTGTGATACTATCAGTGCCTTCAGAGGACATGTGGAGGTTAAACCACTGAAAATCCTGTCAACTGTTGCAAGATCGGGTAAAACATGGCATGTACCCATCAACCTCATGACTTTTGATATGCTTTGTATGGGAGACCTCGTAGCAGTGTTAATTATCTACGCTCCCTCAGCACATTAGGTTGACATTTGGAAGAGACACACATTGCTAATCCTGGTATTCCAGCTCCCATAGATGGTCTAGATGGATGATGGTTGATGGTTGATGGGAAACTCGGAGACATCCTGCCGCAGCAACTGGTAGATATAGCTGAATCAGTGGATACAAGCAAGGACTCTGATGACTCTGATTGTAATTATATGGAAAGTCACATAGACCCAAATTTAACACCAGAGATTCTGTTTCCTAAACTGAAACTATTCCAACTGAAAACAAATTTATGACATCGCAACTGGTAGTTTGAATTCCGATTACTTTATTAATTCAACCCATATCATCTTCATTTTTGTGGGCAATTATAATCAAGTGCTTGTTGCCTGTAATTGTAAAGTATGGACAATTATAGTGATCAAAAGGTTTTTACATGAGAAACATCTGAAGCTTTCTATGGAAATCGCGACACTTAAACGGGTCCCTATATTTTCCAAGATAACATTCGATTTCATGTTCAGGACCAATATAGCCTGTTGCCTACGTCTTCCAAGAGACGAACTGTTCGATTTTCCCTCGTATAACATCCTTCATACATTGTTTCACGTTACACACACGTCTTCTCCAGATAAAGTACAATACGTGATGTGGAAGTTAGTCATATTACGTGTTGTGTCCCAACATTCTGCAAGCTACTGTTGCCTCTTCCACTCCGAACCCTGGAGAACAGACTCGACCCCACTGTCCTTTATAGTACAGCTCCAGCACTCCCTCTCCTGGGGTGTTGGTGGTGGATACAAGTCTTGCCGCTGTAGATTCTGACAAAGACATCATACAAAAACCAAACTTCCACAATATATGACTTAACAATTTCAGTTTTGAACTACACACAATGTTAATAAATGATATTAAGTAAGTGACACATTGAACAAAATACAGTATGTTGTAATAATGTATCTATATTTGATGCCAAGATAACGTTAAAGCGGGACTACGCTCCATGGCCCGGTGTCCATTTCCAGTCTAGCTCCAGACATGTAACTGCTGCTGTTTTTGACATTGTGTCTGTTTAAAAAGGGCCATCATTAACTCTGGTTTACAGAAAACTCCCTTTATGTTGTTTGATACAGCTTACATCATCCCCATATTAAGTTCAGCCTATTGGAGATGCAATGTCAAACCTCTGGAGAAAATTATTACCAACATACCCTCAGCGAATGAAAAACATTGGACACCAACAGCTTCATTGTTGCTACAGTCATTCTGGCCCCATTGTCTGTGCTTGCAGTCCTTCGGTTCTGTATTCAGCATCGTGCACTGCACGTTATCCAACCACATTGGTATGGTACTGTTTGTATCGATTACCTTTCCACCTCTGTAAATGAAGAATCACAAGAAGTCTTGTCTATTACAGGAAAAAACAGTGCATGAAATAAATGTTAACACCAATATAGGAATAATTTATTTATATTTGATGCTCCTTTTCCATAACAATATGCTTTCTTGAGGGCAAAGGATGCGAATGTTATATTTTTGGGTGCGTGAATGAGTATGTGTGTGCCTGTTAAAACTCTTGAACTACAACTTACTGGTATCCCAGACGTCTGCACACAACTGAAGCTTCTACTTGACCGAAAAGGTCATCACACACCGTGCCCCATCTACCGGAGTGGTACACCTGTAGAAGTCCTGTTTTGTACCCCGGTGTCAACTTAACCGTCACCTCATCTGTACAGAGTGTAATATTCACTTTTACTCACAAACGTTTATAATTATCAGTGAAATGTCGACATTTTCATATCTTAAAAAAAGAAACACTTGGTGATAAACCAAGGCCGATTATTTCATATGTTATCCTAACACATAATATATTTCAAAATACTCCTAATGCAACTTTGAGTATTGATGGTCTGTGAAGAATAGAGTGGGAGAGTGAGGTTTAACGCTGCTTTGCAAAGTATTCAAATTATATAAGTATGTCCGCTAGATATGGGATGAAACCCCAAAGTGATGCAAGACTTGGACGTTTACCACTCTTGTATTACCCATGAGCACGGGTGCGGTGCTGATGAACCTATAAATCTAATCAGGCGAACAGGGATTCGAACCCAAGACCATAGGTTCTGTCATGCCCAAAGAGAAGCAACTCTGCAGAGCGTATTGCTGCATCATTCACCCATGACCCCATTTAGAATAGAACATTGCTCCAAATCACAGTAAGGTCTACATGGCGCTCTGTGATTCGTTTGCAATCTTAGTACAAATAAGGCCGGATTTCATCCAAATTATATTTAGACTTAATACGACCACCAGTTTTGAATCTGCATAATATTGGGAAGTTCCAAATAAAAAAGTCGCATGATTTTTTTCCTCAACAGAGTGTCCATCAAAACAAAACGCCCTGAAAGAGGTACTGTACATGTGTCTGATGTTTACTTTCAGTCTGAACGTTGTTAATGGCAGGGGGCACGGGTGGCCCAGTCGTCTGGCGCGATTCGCTGTTTCGCGATACACTGTTTCGCGATTCGCTGTTTCGCGATTCACTGTTTCGCGATTCGCTGTTTCGCGATTCACTGTTTCGCGATTCGCTGTTTCGCGATTCGCTGTGCAGAGTTGTGTCCCTTGGACACGCCAGAAACCTTTTTTGAGGTTTAATATTTCTACTTATCATTACATGGAGGGTGTGTACACAATATTACTACCAAAATGATATTTACTTTTCTGTACAAAAATAATCATGTGATGAAATAAACAAAAACCCAACTAGTTAGTAGCCAGTATATGTTCAATCTACATGTTCCATTCGAAATAGGGGCCACGGGTGGCCCAGTCGTCTAAGGCGCCGCGATTCGCTCTGCAGAGTTGCGTCCCCTGGACACGCCAGAAACCTATGATTGTGGGTTCGAATCCCGGTTCGCCCCGATTATGTTTCTAGGTTTGTCAGCACCATACCCGTGCTCATGGGTTTCACCGAAGTTGTAAACGTCTGAGACCTGCAACACTTCGGGCTTTCCTCCCACATTAAGCTGGCACCCCGTGATATAACTGGAATACTGTTAAAAGCGGCGTTAAACCCAACTCTCTCACTCACGATAATGGCATGTGTTGCCCACTCGAAGTAAGTAGGGAATCGTCGTCTGACATATTTATCCACAAATTGAAGTTTGAGTGGACAGACAAGTAAAGTTTTGTTTGAAAGGTATTATTCTGGGAAAGCCACTCGCCAAGCTTCGTTCCCACTTAGCAATTTCTCATGATGAAGTCAAGATATAAATAGTATTTAACAGTGTCACCATTATTCGGTTTAACTTCACACAACATCTGAACCATGTACTCGCATATAGCATTACCTAAGTAGTATCAAGAATGGCATCACCAGATAAGAACGATAGAACCTGTCATTGTATGAATCAATAAGAGCAACAAAACCTTCACCTAGCCACACGAAATCTCTGCTGATGTACGATAAAATGAGCATGTATTGATAAATTACTTTCAGATTTTGATGATAACAGGTCGATCACCTTTATCATCACAATCTGAAAGTGATTTATAAAAACACAGCGTATGCTGCCCCACTGATGGCAACTGTCACAAATACATGCAAGGGCAAGTCAATTGTTCACCTGGAAAGATACCATAACATATGGTACAAGTCCAAATAGCTTATTGCATTATTATTGTCATTGAGGCGCCCCCCACCTGTCCACCATAAACTGTTTCGAAAGCTTTTATGAGGCCTTGGGTGTTGTCAAGCAGCATTTGAGCAGAGTCACATGACGCTCTTTGCAATTTTCAGGAGAGGAGCTCGATCGTAATTTTTTAAACAAAGATTGCAGATTTTAGGCACCTTAGTTATGAATGACTACACATTGAACAATTGAAGCTTTAATGTATTCATGCCAACTCACTTTCATCACATATGATACCAACATCTTCACTGTGTCCACAGTTGTGGGTTCCCCAGCCCGCATGTGAACAACGACTCAGGTCTGATTCAGTACCAGTGCAGCCCAGGTCATCAAGCCAGATTTTCCCACTTCCAAATCCAAACGAGGAAATGACCTTCGGTGTCATTCCTGTTTCACTGTCGATGGAAACGGAAGGTTTTGCTGAATGTGTTTTATATTCCCAAGTCATATGACAACAGAGAGTACCATCCCTTTCTTGCCCATGATATAGTCGATTGTGAAATCGACTTTATGCAGAAATTTCTATTGGATATGGAAAGGATTTTGTCGCTCTGTTGTCAGTAATGACCAATTCGGTTTGACCAAAAGGAATATATGATGTTGTCTTTCAACACATGTCATGCTTGATTTACAGGTACTTGTATTGACAAGAATTAAACTCTCCTTTAAAACTTCATATGGAACATTTGAAAAGAAAAGTAATGTATACCTTACTTTGTTGAGGTAGAAATAAATTGATAGTATCACAACACAAGATACAAACCAAACATTAAGCACACACCCAATTTTACACAGCAAAAGCAAAAAACAACATCTTTGCATATCGATCGTAAAAATCTTACTATCGTCCCAGCTGTCTGCAGGCCACGATAGCGTCCTGTTGCCCAAAACCATCATCACAAACAGTTCCCCATAAACCGTTATGGTACACCTCAAGTCTGCCAACACCGTTATTCAGCGGCGATACCAGTCGGATAGTTTGACCAACAGCTACGAAAATGAATATAAGACATGAATCATAAGCACTGTAATTAGGTGCGAAGAGTATTTCATCAATACTAAAATACTACAAGTTATTGATTACCCATGTGTATGTCATAAGTGACAGTGTAAACTAGTTTTGTTATTTTGATTTTTTTGGTAGAAAATGACTTATTTCTCGCCTGGGTGTGTTTCAGAAGAAAACCTAAACGTTATTTAAAAAGTAATTTGGGGACGGAACAAGCGCTTTTTCCATTTGCGAAGTGAGATTGTTTATCGTTTGGACATACAAGGTCGATCACTTTGAGCGACTCAGTACGGCAGAGAGGAGGGAGAGTCAGATGAAGCGAAGGTGATGGACCAAGAACGACAGACAGAAGTCAGAGCCAGATGAAGCCAAGGTGACGGACCAAAAACAACAGAGAGTAGGGAGAGCAAAATGAAGGGAAGGTGATGGACCAAGAACGACAGAAAGAAGGGAGGGCCAGATGAAGCGAAGGTGATGGACCAAGGACAACAGAGAGTAGGGAGAGCCAGATGAAGCGAAGGTGATGGACCAAGAACGACAGAAAGAAGGGAGAGCCAGATGAAGCCAAGGTGACGGACCAAAAACGACAGAAAGAAGGGAGAGCCAGATAAAGTGAAGGTGATGGACCAAGAACGACAGGGAGAGCCAGATGAAGCGAAGGTGATGGATCAAGGACAACAGACAATAAGGGAGAGCCAGATGAAGCGAAGGTGATGGACCAAGAACGACAGAAAGAAGGGAGGGCCAGATGAAGCGAAGGTGATGGACCAAGGACAACAGAGAGTAGGGAGAGCCAGATGAAGCGAAGGTGATGGACCAAGAACGACAGAAAGAAGGGAGAGCCGGATGAAGCGAAGGTGATTGATCAGGAACGACAGAGAGAAGGGAGAGCCTGATCATCCTAAAGTGATAGACCAATAACAACAGGGAGAGCCAGATGAAGCGAAGGTGATGGATCAAGTACGACAGACAATAAGGGAGAGCCAGATGAAGCGAAGGTGATGGATCAAGAACGACAGACAATAAGGGAGAGCCAGATGAAGCGAATGTGATGGACTAAAAACTACAGAAAGAAGGGAGAGCCAGATGAAGCGAAGGTGATGGACCAAGAACGACAGAAAGAAGGGAGAGCCAGATAAAGTGAAGGTGATGGACCAAGAACGACAGGGAGAGCCAGATGAAGCGAAGGTGATGGATCAAGGACAACAGACAATAAGGGAGAGCCAGATGAAGCGAGGGTGATGGACCAAGGACAACAGAGAGTAGGGAGAGCCAGATGAAGCGAAGGTGATGGACCAAGAACGACAGAAAGAAGGGAGAGCCGGATGAAGCGAAGGTGATTGATCAGGAACGACAGAGAGAGCCTGATCATCCTAAAGAGATAGACCAATAACAACAGGGAGAGCCAGATGAAGCGAAGGTGATGGACCAAGAACGACAGAGAGTAGGGAGAGCCAGTTGAAGCGAAGGTGATGGACTAAAAACGACAGACAGAAGGGACAGCCAAATGAAGGGAAGGTGATGGACCAAGAACGACAGAGCAAAGTGAGTGAGTGAGTGAGTGAGTGAGTTGTGTTTAACGCCGCTTTTAACACTATTACAGTTATATCACAGCGTGCCAGCTTAATGTGGGAGGAAGGCCCAAATTGATGCAGGTCTCAGGCGTTTACCACTTCGGTGAAACCCACGAGGATGGGTATGGCGCTGACAAACCTTGAAACATAATCGAGGCGAACAGGGATTCGAACCCACAATCATAGGTTTCTGGCGTGCCCAAGGGACGCAACTCTGCACAGCGAATCGCGGCGCCTTAGATGACTTGGCCACCCTGTGTTTGTCAGAATACCAAGGAAGTGATGCATTATCTTTCTATATATTCGGTTTTTGAATGTTCTTAATACTAAAATTTTCAGAACGTAATTGTGTCTCTCTATGACGTTTATTCCACAAGGTAACAACAACGTTGCAAATTACGTTGTGAAAACGTTGTGCTTTGGACATTACAAAACGTTTTTGTAAATGATGTTTAGGAAACCACTTGTAGATCTACCATCTCCTTGTTTTATTTTTTTCAGCATAAACATCTATTAGAAGTTGGGGCAGTAGTCTGGTACGAACTACTTCCGGTTATGGTCAAGTGACCTGCGCATCCAAGATGGCGGCACTTCCGGTTCCATGAGGCGTGAGGCGACACTTCCGGTTCCGGGGGAAGTACGTGTGTGCCTCCAAGATGGCGCATCTCCGGTTCCGGGGGAGGGGCGTGTGCACCTCAAAGATTGGCACGTCCGGTTCGGATTCGGATAGCAGCGGACATATAGACATACGTCGTGTTGTTACTCGCTCATCCATGTCGAGGCGTTGGCACTCGTGTATGCCTGCGGGGTGTTGGCACTCGTGTATGCCTGCGGGGTGTTGGCACTCGTGTATGCCTGCGGGGTGTTATTTACTCGTGTCTCGATGCAAACATGGTGCCACTCAGGACTACAAACAGACGTTTATAGAGGTATAGATCGATAGACATACGTGGCGTTGTAACTCGCTCATCCACGCCTGGGTGTTGGCACTCGTGTATGCCTACATGTGTGCAACCATTCGTGTCTACATGCAAAACGTGGTGTCACACGTGTATCCATGCAAACGTGGTGTCACACGTGTCTCCATGCAAACGTGGTGTCACTCGTGACGTGGAGGTGGTCGTGGAGGTGGAGGGAAGTCAAAGCAAGGATGAAAGCGATCTTTCGGGAGAGATGGGTGGGCCCTGAAAAGGGCCGTTTGGAGGAAGAACATGAAAAAACGGGAACGGAAACAGGAAGGGAAAACGAGAACGGAAACTGGAACGGGAAAACGGGAACGGAAACGTCATCCTAGGAAGGCGACTATGCTACTTCATTCGCGTTGCTCTGATTCGCAGGCTCCTGGTAGATCTTATTCTCACAACGTTATAATATAACAACGTTGCACATTTACGTTGTGAAAACGTTGTGCATCGGACATCACATAACGTTTGGTTACTACGTTTCTGAAATGTCTGTGAAACGTTTCAGAGTTTGCTTCTTGATATTCACAAAGGAATAGAACTGCATGATCAAAATCAACCTGAATTTGTCAGAATACCAAGGAAGTAATGCATTACCCTTCTATATATTCGGTGTGAATTTTCATATCTTAATGCTAAAATTTTCAGAACGTAATTGTGTCTCTCTATGACAACGCTAGTATTACGTTACATTGTAACTTTCCACAACGTAACAACAAAGTTGCAAATTTCGTTGTGATAACGTGATGCTTTGGACATTGCAACACGTTTTTGAAAATAATGTTTAGGAAACCACTTGTAGATCAACCATCTCCTGGTTTTATTTTTTTAAGCATATATATCTAATAGTAGTTGGGGGCAGTAGTACGAACTACTTCTGGTTCCGGTCAATAGACCTGCGCATCCAAGAGGGCAGCACTTCCGGTTCCGTGAGGCATCCAATATGGCGTCACTTCCGGTTCCGGGGAAGGACATGTGAGCGTCCAAGATGGCGGCACTTCCGGTTCCGGGGGAGGGGCGTGTGCACCTCCAATATGGCTGGAAGGCTAGGAAGGCGGGGAAGGGGGAAAAGCGGGGAAGGCGGGAAGGAGGAAGGCGTGGAGCAGGAAGGCGGGAAGGAGGAAGGCGGGAAGCAGGATGGCGGGAAGGCGAGAAGGTGGGATGGAGGAAGGCGGGAAGGAGGAAGGAGGAAGGCGGGAGGAGGGAGGAGGAAGGGAGGCAGGGAGGAGGAGGGAAGGAGGGAGGCAGGAGGAAGAGGGTGTGCAGGGCTGGCAGCGGTGTATCATCAACGTCCGTGATGATGTGTCTTCAACGTCAGTGGTGTTGAGTCTTCAACGTCAGTGGTGTATCATCAACTTCCGTGATGTTGTGTCGTCAACGTCAGTGGTGTATCATCAACGTCAGTGATGTTGTGTCTTCAACGTCAGTGATGTTGTGTCTTCAACGTCAGTGCTGTATCATCAACGTCAGTGGTGTATCATCAACGTCAGTGGTGTATCATCAACGTCCATGATGATGTGTCTTCAACGTCAGTGGTGTATCATCAACGTCAGTGATGTTGTGTCTTCAACGTCAGTGGTGTATCATCAACGTCAGTGGTGTATCATCAACATCAGTGGTGTATCATCAACGTCCGTGATGTTTCGTCTTCAACGTCAGTGGTGTATCATCAACTTCTGTGATGTTGTGTCTTCAACGTCAGTGGTGTATCATCAACGTCAGTGGTGTATCATCAACGTCCGTGATGATGTGTCTTCAACGTCAGTGGTGTATCATCAACGTCAGAGATGTAGTGTCTTCAACGTCAGTGGTGTATTATCAACGTCAGTGGTGTATCATCAAAGTCAGCGGTGTGTCATCAACGTCAGCGGTGTTGTGTCTTCAACATCAGTGGTGTATCATCAACGTCAGCGGTGGTGTATCATCAACGTCCGTGATGTTTCGTCGTCAACGTCAATGGTGTATCATCAACGTCAGTGGTGTATCACCAACGTCCGTGATGGTGTATCATCAACGTCAGTAGTGTATCATCAACGTCCGTGGTGTATTATCAACGTCAGTGGTGTATCATCAACGTCCGTGATGTTTCATCTTCAACGTCAGTGGTGTATCATCAACGTCAGTGGTGTATTATCAACGTCAGTGGTGTATCACCAAGTCTGTCATGTTTCGTCTTCAACGTCAGTGGTGTATCATCAACGTCAGTGGTGTATCATCAACGTCGGTGGAGTTTCATCAACGTCAGCGGTGGTGTATCATCAACGTCCGTGATGATGTGTCTTCAACGTCAGTGGTGTATCATCAATGTCAGTGGTGTATTATCAACGTCAGTGGTGTATTATCAACGTCCGTGATGTTTCGTGTTCAACGTCAGTGGTGTATCATCAACGTCAGTGGTGTATTATCAACGTCAGTGGTGTATCATCAACGTCCGTCATGTTTCGTCTTCAACGTCAGTGGTGTATCATCAACGTCAGTGGTGTATCATCAACGTCGGTGGAGTTTCATTAACGTCCGTGATGTTTCGTGTTCAACGTCAGTGGTGTATTATCAACGTCAGTGGTGTACCATCAACGTCCGTGATGTTTCGTGTTCAACGTCAGTGGTGTATCATCAACGTCCGTGATGTTTCGTCTTCAACGTCAGTGGTGTATCATCAACGTCAGTGGTGAATCATCAACGTCAGTGGTGTATCATCAACGTCCGTCATGTTTCGTCTTCAACGTCAGTGGTGTATCATCAACGTCCGTGATGTTTCGTCTTCAACGTTAGTGGTGTATCATTAACGTCAGTGGAGTATCACCAACGTCCGTGGTGGTGTATCATCAACGTCAGTGGAGTATCATCAACGTCCGTGATGATGTGTCTTCAACGTCAGTGGTGTATCATCAACTTCCGTGATGTTGTGTCTTCAACGTCATTGGTGTATCATCAACGTCAGTGATGTTGTGTCTTCAACGTCAATGGTGTATCATCAACTTCCGTGATGTTTCGTCTTCAACGTCAGTGGTGTATCATCAACGTTAGTGGTGTATCTGCAACGTCCGTGGTGGTGTATTATCAACGTCATTGGTGATATCATCAACTTCCGTGAAGTTGTGTCTTCAACGTCAGTCGTGTATCATCAACGTCCGTGATGTTGTGTCTTCAACGTCAGTGGTGTATCATCAACGTCAGTGGTGTATCATCAACGTCAGCGGTGGTGTATCATCAACGTCAGCGGTGGTGTATCATCAACGTCAGCGGTGGTGTATCATCAACGTCAGTGGTTTATCATCAACGTCAGTGGTGTATCATCAAAGTCAGTGGTGTATCATCAACGTCCGTGATGGTGTGTCTTCAACGTCAGTGGTGTATCATCAACGTCCCTGATGGTTTGTCTTCAAAGTCAGTGGTGTATCATCAACGTCCCTGATCGTGTATCATCAACGTTAGTGATGTTGTGTCTTCAACGTCAGAGGTGTATCATCAACGTCCGTGATGTTGTGCCTTCAACATCAGTGGTGTATCATCAACCTCCGTGATGTTGTATCATCAACGTCAGTGAGAGAATCAGAGCTACCAGGAACCTGCGAATCAGAGCAACGCGAATGAAGTAGCATGGTCGCCTTCCTAGGATGACGTTTCTGTTCTCGTTTTCCCGTTCCTGTCACCGTTCCTGTTCCGGTTCCCTGTCCCGTTTTTTTCATGTTCTTCCTCCAAACGGCCCTTTTCAGGGCCCACCCATCTCTCCCGAAAGATCGCTTTCATCCTTGCTTTGACTATCCTCCACCTCCACCTCCACCTCCACGACCACCACCACGTCACGAGTGGCACCACGTTTGCATGGAGACACGATTGACACCACGTTTGCATGTAGACACGAATGGTAGCACACATGTAGGCATACACGAGTGCCAACACCTAGGCATGGCCCTGTTTGAACCCATTATGATTCTAGGTTTGTCAGCGCCATACCTATGCTCGTGAGTTTCATCAAAGTGGTAAACGGCTGAATCGCTACGGGCTTTCCTCCTACATTTAACTGACACGCCGTGATGTAACCGGAATACTGTTCAAAGCCGTTAAACCCAACTCACTTAATGTTGTTACGGGTTTTAGATACGACACGTATAACAAGAAGACTAGTACTTATATAGAAAAGCGGTCTAAAAGTCTGCCAACAGCCGTGCTGTTTGATCACGTAGTGCTAATATGAAATAACACTGGGAGATAATTAAACATGCAAATCACTTGTCGATATCAGCCCACCACATAGCAATCGTAGTTCATATAATGGTTTACCACACATGTATCACAAATAGTTAATTAGTAAAGGTTACATATATCAAAGCAGGTAATCGGATCCTCCCATGAAAGAAATACATGCCAGAAGAACAATGTCAGCTGCATTGTATTTCGCCATATTGAATACAAAGCAATATAGATTCACTGGTGGATACGGCCGATTGTTTAGTAAATATTCACCTTTCCTAAACAGGGAGTGGCTCTCAGTGGTTGCATAGCTGTGGTGAAACGGCTTATAGGATCCGTCGGATTGACCTTAGAGCTTACGGGTAGATAACAGAATACGTGAACATCATGATTGCACAAGTGTGTATATATCAACTGAGTACTCGTCGTTCTGGGTGTCTACTTGGGCTGTTCATGTTATTATGCTGCTGTTGTTGACAAAGTAGCAGCAATCAACAAATAACTTCCTGGTAGGGGCCTCTACAGTTAAACCAGTTAACGTAGTCAACAAGGATATATACTCAACGACAAAAGTTCCTGTGGCACCAATACTGTAGTGTATTTTTCAAAAAGGTAAAGTTTGGTTTTCAATATGTTAGTACATGTATTGAATCAAGTCACAAAAACCCAACTGCTACAGAAAAGCATGCCTTCCATACAAAAGTTGACTTTTATGAAAGCCCCATGCATTTCACTATCCAAGAATAGCAGCAGTCAACAAATAACTTCCTGGTAGAATAGAATAGGAGAGAATAGAATAGAATAGAAAGTTGAAAAGTTGAATAGAAAGCAATACAGATTCACTGGTGGTTGTGGGCGATTGTTTAGTCAATATGTTACACTTTCCTAAACAGGGCGTGGTCCTCAGAGCGTGCATAGCTGTGGAGCCCGTGAATAGGTCTTTTATTCTGTTAAATTCAATTGGACTTTGCCGTGGGTCGAGTAGGTGTCAGCTTATTCACACTCCTAACAGACTCCTATGCTTGTCGTAAAAGGCGACTAACGGGAACAGGTGGGCAGGTTCGCTGACTTGGTTGATGCATGTCATCGTCCCGCAATTGCGTAGATTGATGCTCATGATGTCTGGTCCAGCTCGATTATTTACAGACCGCCGCCATATAACTGGAATATTATTGAGTGTGGCGTCAAACAACAAACAAGCAAAAAAGAGCTTCCGGGTAGATAACAGTAATACGTCCGACACCACGATGAGATGTATGTATGTATCGAGCTGTCAGTGTGCTGTGTAGTTCCTATTCTTCGAATGACATTGTTATGTACTTGTTACAACTGCTGCTCAATGAACCGTGTTTGTGTTCATATTCAAGTTTGTGTTTCCAAAGTGTGCAGTCTTATTGTTGATAGTCATTTTGGAGATAAAAATCAATACAAACGAAGACTACTCGCATTTTTCGCATTTAATTCACGCTCGCGTTAATTTCAAGGTTTGCGGTACTCGTTGTTATGGATCCTGCATGCGGTCATGCTGCCGTCCACAAATAACTTCCTGGTAGGGACCTCTATAGTCACACTGGTTAATGTAGTCTACCAGAACATAATGGGACGTTGTTGTGTCACTCTCAAATCAAGAGTTAATATTCAAACCTCCATATCAGGAGATCCCAAAACTCATTGGTTAACTCAGTTTTACTACTGACACCACTCATGTGTGATTAAGTATATCTGGTGTAAATACTGACACCACTCTTGTGTGATTAACCTTATCTGGTATGAATACTTACAACACGTATGTGTGATTAACAAAATATAGTGAAAATACTGACACCATTGATGTGTGATTAAGTATATCTGGTGTAAATACTGACACCACTCTTGTGTGATTAACCTAATGATGGGAATACTTACAACACGTATGTGTGATTAACAAAATATAGTGAAAATACCGACACCACTGATGTGTGATTAAGCATATTTGATATGAATACTTACAACACGTATGTGTGATTAACAAAATGATGAAAATACTGACACCATTGATGTGTGATTAAGCATATCTGGTGGGGATACCTACGACACTTATGTGTGATTAACAATATATAGTGGGAATACTGACACCATTGATGTGCAACAACGCGGGCGTCGAAAGGATGAGGTGACTTTGTTGACAGCTTGTCATCGTACCCCAAAATCGTGAATCGTTGCTAATGATATCACTCATTGGATTGTCTGGTCCAGACTCGATGAGTTAGACCACGAAAGATAAATGAAAGCATAATACTAAGTTTGTTCTTATATATTAAAAAAAATAACATACCACTGACAAGGAGCGCAGCCAGACACACAAATAGAGGACATATCCCCTTCGCCATGTTGGCTGTGATATGAATGTGGCCAAGTTTAAATCAGGTTTTCATATGGTGAATCAGTGCAGGACTTGTCTGTATGTGGGGAGTTGTATTCAGCAAATGAATACATTTAGGTTCGTTCAGAAAGATAACACACCATCCAGTCCTTTGTCATGGAACTTCGAGGTAGGCTGTATGGAAACACTAATACCACCAACTGCGGTGTTTAATGTATGAGTTGTGAGAGATGCATATAGTGTTAACTGAGGGTTTATGTGGTGCACTTAACAAACATTGCTTGCACTCTATGCTGAACCATGATAGAACACATTGCGTATGTTCATTCACGTGTTGTCCTCTCTGCACCTCAAGTAAGTAAGTACTGTACTGTACAACCAAATGTGGTGGATTCATTTTTTTGGCAACCTGTGTAGGTGGTGGGTGTTGCCAGTTGGGCGGGGCGGGGCGGGGCGGGGCGTACTTACCCTTTTTCGCGGGCGCCTAAGGGTCGTCATTGATCTTCAGTGATTCATGAATGATACATCTCACCACACCTTGGACTATAGACTGCTCACTTTAGGAGCCTCCTGGCAACAAAATACGCAACTCTCTCCAAGATCCTTTATAAGAAATGATAACGCGCCGATTCGTACAGAAAATATTTTCCTCCCACATTGAGCTGACACGTCGCGATATAACTGGAATACTAGTACTGTTAAAAGCGGCGTTAAACCAAACTCACTCCCTCACTACTGATTTCAAATTTTGTAGCATTCATATTTTGTATATTTTCAAAAGCATGTTAAATATTGGGGCATCATTCGTGTGGAAAAGTACATAAAAACTGAATATAATACATATGAGTGTATTGATTAAAGAAAAGTGCAAATTCCGCGTTTTTGGTGCAATTCTGCGGGAATTTACATTTTCTGAAAATGTTTCCGCTATCACTGAATCGCAAGATTCATCTTGGACTGGTAAACGTGGTGTTTATTTGAAGTTTTGGAACATGAGACAGTTCCCTGAAAAGTGTAAGCTGCCTCACGAGACGCTGGGTAGTTTACAGTCTCATTTACATCTTATTCTACCGATGACCCATTCGCTACCTGGCGAACAGAGGCATATTTCGAACAATTTCACTTGCCTAAGTAGACATCACATGTAACGCGTGTTTCAATGTAGGGAAGAGCTGAAGCCCAAGAAACGCCAAGGACTCAAGCTGCCGAACACTTCCACTCATCCACGTATTCTCCGCGACCAACGTTGCTTAACTTGCCTGATGTGTTGCATGCGTTCTGTAAACATGGCCACTTGCCACTACATTCAATGTCTGTGGGCACCACCACTGATGAAAACCTCACTGTCTCAAAGGAAAGGCACTTTTCCCACCGTGTGTAAAATTCTACAAGCCTACGTACAGCCTACTGCTGGGCTTCAGGGGAGACTAAAATGGATCTGGTTGGTCAGTGATTTATTTTATTTTGTGTAATCCTAACTGCATTTGAAGATGCATATTATACTGATATGGCCTGAATAGCGTTTCGCTACACACAAATCAATGAAGCGTTTATAAAATATACCATTAAAACCCAAATACTATCTTTTGAAACATTCCTGTCTTGACACAATATCACCCCTAACTCGCCCTGAATCATTCCAAGCTCCGGAAATGAAATCCACTTTCATGTAGGGCCGGTGTCACGAAATATATTCGCCCCCAGAATAAAATCTACCCTTGGCGAATTTATACCGGTACAGTTCCGCCCCTCTCGAAATAAACTCTCCCTCACCCTACGAAATAAAATCCCCCCCCAAGAATATTTCCTCCCCCGGTCGTTTTATAAATATATATATATATATATATATATATATGACACTTCTGATATATAGGAGAAGGAGAAGCATTAATATAGGCCTTTTTGGCCTGTTTGCTAATCCCTTTTCCATTTTGTAACGTTATGTAATGTAAAATCTGAACATTAATGGAAACAAAATACTGTTTAAATCATATATATATATATATATATATATATATATATATATATATATATATATATATATATATATATATATATATATGTATGTATTACTTATGCTGGGTCCGACTTGGCCTGGACTGTCAAAATCCACTTTAAACACACAAATGTATCATCAAATGTGTTTACATCTATGGACAAGCCAAACACTTCTGATAGAGACGATGTTGAGAATGTGGAGTGAGAAGGGCTTCACTTTGAACACTGTGTTTTCTTTAACTACCGCAATATGAGACAATAAAGTGGTATATAGGTAGATATAATACTAGTCGTTAGATATAAAGAATGTTTAGTAACTTTAGAAGTTCTAGGACAATTATTAACACGTGTCGTGTCAGCCCTATGACATTCGCGATTGTCCACTTCCAGAAAACATCCTGTGTTGGTTTAACATGAATTAGTAAAGGTTAATTAGGGATGCCCAACACGTTAATTAAAGAAAGACGAGTAGTCAAAACACTGTCATTTCCTGCCCAGGACATCACACCCCTACACGCCAAGGTCGGTGAGAAGCATTCTCATCAAAGAAAACACACAGTCAAGACACTGACTTTTCTACGAGGACTCACGGAACATTTTCTCCCCCAAACTATATATTTATATCGACTTGTCATGCAGTTCAACAACTGTAATTTTCTAAAACTTATTTTGCTTAGTGGCGTGTTTGTAGTATATTTTTATGGAGAATCTCAGCTTCTGAACAACTTTTACTTGCGTAGCTGTTGGCATGTATAAATTTAAGTGAGTCAGTTTCGGGTTCAGTGGATTTCTTGTTTTTGTAAGCAAAGGCAGTATTTAGGCATTTCACTGGATCCTAAACTTAAAACGGTACTAACTAGAGGTATTAAAATTTAAATGCCAATTAAGGGAATGTAAGTGGTACAAAAGTGTTCTCCTATTTGTAGATTCTCAAGGGTTAGCTACCAATCAAACCCTAGAATATTTTCTCCCCCCGATTATTTATACAGACGTGTCATGCAGTTCAAAAAATTTAGGTGTATTAAATGCCAATGCTATGAAGTGTCTGTGTGGTATTTTGTGATAGACCTAAATACTAGATGAGGAAATGTATGTGGTAAGAATGTGTTCAGCTGTTTGTAGATTCCCGTCGTTTGGCTACAAATCCTGTGATGTATTAATTTGCATGCTTTACCATTCATTGTACCGTTCTAAACCATGTGAATGTTGTAATATCAGTCGATCGGGTGAGAAAACAGCCCGATCCTCGCTCTATAAAGGACAATGTCACTCATTTTGCAAGTTGAAATGACCCCTGATGCTTTATGACAGTTTATGGAGTAAAAATCAATCCTGATTAGTCAAACCGCTATGCAATTTCTTTTTCAAAGGAAATTAGGCCTTATTCTGTAAAATTGCCATTGGTTTGGGTAGAACCGCTGGGCTGACCGCGCGGTTCAAGATAATCGAGCACTGTTCGACTTTTTTTTTAACCGAGCGTTCCAAACCGCAACAATGAAAATACTACATCATAAATGAACTGTTTCGATTGCGCGGTTTTACCAACCGCTAGCCCCTAGCGGTTTGCAGTTGGTGAAACCGCGCCAAACCGCGTACAATAGAAACTAAGTCGCCGAACTTTTAAGCATAGTTTTTGTATATAGCATTTCAACCATCTCCCTTAACGTGCCCCAAACCGCGTGGCAAACCGCGCACATGGAAACTCAGCCTAAAGGGCGGCGGCTTTTACATAAGCCTGTAATTAAACAAAGGAATCTGTAATTAAAATGTGTAAGGTGTAAAAAGCTTTTACATAAAAGAGCAAAATACATTGGGGAGAGTAAATACATAATTCTATATAATTTTCTTGAATGGAGCACATTTGAAAAAAAGTTTAAAAATAATCCAAGCATATGCGATATTACCGTGTTTAAAGAATTTATATCAGTCATATATTTCTTACTTTGATCAGCTGTATGTAACCCAGCATGCATATCGGGGAACATTGTAATGTTGGTACAGTTTATCGTGTCTTCGTGCTTTATTAGCATTACACATTGGCTTTTCATATTCCTCAAGGTTTTAATGTTCATTTGTTTATGTACTTTTTTATTTATTTTTTTCTCTCCTTTATTTTTTCTGGGTTATATATATAAGATTTCTGAATTCAGTTACAACAGTAACCGTACATGTATTTGTTACATTAAGTCATTACATTAAAATTTGTTTGGTATGATATATGTCTTATACTTATTTCAGGATGGAAGGTACAGTTACCAAATAAAATATGCTGAAATATCAATTCATTATGACCATATTTCATAAATCTATTTTTTAAAGTAACCCTCCTTACATTAAAGATATCCATTTAAAGAATATAGTACTTAAAAACATCGCAACAACCCGAATAATCACGGGAGAGACTTTATACTGAGGGAGGCGCGAAATATATCCGCCCGGGGGAGATTTTATTTCAGAACAGATTCTCCGGGGGAGAATCTGTACCGGTATAAAATCTCCGGGGGGAGGATTTGTACGGGGAAGAGTTTATACCGGGACACATCATGGCCTTTTGACTGACGACATCAGATCTGAACTGGTCATGAATTACGAGTAACACGAGTCTGGCTCACCAACTTGGAAACAACCAAAAATATTAATAATAATCCTGAATAAACAAAGGCATTTTGAACACTTTACTAGTGCTATTTAGTGTGCGTGTCTCCTTGTACTAGCCTCGACTGATGCCGATTTATAGTGCTAGCACACTAAGATACCATGCAGCAGTTTAACATAAATATCCCACTCAGACACAGTATACTGATTCCGAGCCGACCAGTCCTAATTTTAGCCCCTTTATGCCGAGCGCCAGACAAGGTAACAACAAGGACCATCTTTTAACATCTTTTGGTTTGACGCGGCCGGGGATCGAACCCCGGACCTTTCGGTCGGGCAGACGTTCTACCACTAGACCACGGAGGCGGTCGGTTTTACTTGCATTAGTACATGTATGTCAAATCCTTATGTATTGGAATATTACCGTCAGGAATGAAATGCGTCTGTCTAGACGTCTGTGATCAACATACCTTCACATTACAGGCCAGTTACATTATTAGAAGTGTCTGGCATTATTAGAAGAAGTGTCTGGAAAGGTCACTATTTGATGGTGAATCATAAACCCATGCTCATGATATGGTCGGAATCGTACAATCGATTTATATTGGATATAGAAAGGG